TTATATCAATTTGTTCAAGATGATTTATGTATGACTAAATATCATAACCAAGCATTCACTAATGATATTTTCCAATCAAACCAAATTATATTTCGAATAGTTGCTCAAATGGAGAATTAGAGGATGATTATAGATTACCAATAAACGATACTTCAAATATCACTTGGATAGAAGAATCCAAACTAGAAAGATTAATACAACCAAGGTCTATTATGATGGTTTATTTAGTATTTAAACTATTATGTCAATGATTATTCAGGTTGGCACCAGGTACTTTTACAATTTTCAAAATGTTATAATTGTCCAATTAAAATGACTGTTCATCACTTTCAAATAGATATTTATAATACTAAAACAAATAATCATTTAATATAAATGATTAATTTTAATATTAAAATTACAATCATATTAATAATAAATAATATCAGAAAATAGAATCTATTTGTAATCAATGCAATAGTTCTTTCATAATAATTAAAAAATGTAATAATTTTGGAATTTTTATTAAAAGAATTAATAATAATAACAATAATAATTATTATAGAGAAAGATATTTTCGTGTCACACCCCATCAATCAAAAAAAAAAAATCAAAAAAAAAAAAAATTTTATTTTATAAATTTTTTTCTTTATTTTTTTTTTGATTTCTTTTGATAATGTTATTGTGTTGACTTTCACACTGCGGAGTGTTTATCGAAATTATTTTTTTTTATTTTTATTTTATTTTTTTTTTTACCATGGTACGTTATTGGGTTATTATTTTTTTTTTTTTTATATTTTTTTTTAATATGAAACAAAAATAATTTTTATTATATTGGATATTTTTAGTATCTTTCAATAAAGTTTAAAATAGTACGTCATTAATGTATTTATATATTTGTTTGTTTATATAATTGCTATTATTATTGTTATTGATTATTTTTATTTTTATTTTATTATTATTTTTATATTGTTTTATTTTCCCACACACACACTTTTTTTTTTTTTTTTCGATTTCTTTTTTTTGTGTCTGCTATACAGCTTTGTGGTATCTATTTTTTAATATAAAATACAATAAACGCCCTAACAACAGGAAAAAAAGATTAATAATCTATTTGAAACTTGTTGATTTGTAAATAGATCTTTATATTTTTGACAACAAATAAAAAATTATGTATTATAGTTAATTATCATTTCAAATACATATAATAATTAAGTTATTCATTCTCACCACATTCCCTACCCCCGTGCACATACCCACAAAAAATTAAAAAAATAAAAAAACTAGACATTTATACACATGTAATACATACATAAATTAATAAAAATAAATAAATAAATTTTTATATTTTCAAATTATAGCCCTACTCGCTCATTCTGAAATTAATATTATTTTTATAAACATATTTATATATATTCTAATATTATTTATATTTTTTTTTTGTCTTATTTCAATATTTTCATCAAAAATAAAATAAAAAATAATAAATATTAATATATATTTTATATTCAAACTCTATATATTGTATCATTAAAATAACACACATAAATCTTTTGTATTATTGGTATTATTATCACGTAATATTATTAATAGTAATTTTTTAACTTTTTTTTTTTTTATTTTTTTATTTTTATTTTTTTTTATTTTTTTTTTTTATAATAACAAAAAGAAATCGGCGTGTCAAATATTAAAATATTTTTTTTAAAATTTTTTTAATTTTTTTTTTAATTTTTTTTCCTCACTCTTTGATTACTTTTTTTTTTTTTTTTTTTCCCCACCTTTTTTTTTTCTTTCAAAATTTTATATTTTTATATATTTATATATTCATTTTAAAAATAAAAAAAATCATAGTTTTAATTTTGTTTTTTCTTTTTTAATTCAAAAGAATATATTTTAAAACTATAATTTTCAAAAAAAAAATAAAAAACCATCCAAAAAAAAAATATTATAAAAATGGGATGGGGCAATCAAAACCATAAAAATATTATAATTTTTTTTTTTTTTTTTTTTTTCTAACAAGATAAATATTTGTTTTTTTTTTTTTTTTCGATTTTTTTTTTCGATTTTTTTTTTTTTCGATTTTTTCTATTATTAATTTGTCAAAAAAAAAAACAAACAAATAAATAAATAAAAAAAGAAATAAATACTCTTATTTATCATTAAAAATAAAACAACTACAACGATACAATAATTAATAAAAAATAAAATAAAAAATTACTCTCATCAAAAAAACTTATCATTCTGTTCGTTTATTTTTGTATTATAATACAATTATATCTATGTGTGTATATCATAAATACCAATTCTTAATAAAAACATCGATTTAAAACACCTAAATAATACAGACACCAATAATTAGTAGAAGAAGAACAACACTATTAAGTTGTGTATAATTAAAATTTTTTTTAAAAAAAAACAAAAAGATTATTTGTTGATAACTTTTTATCGCACACACACTTCTCTCTGCAAATTTAATTACACACTCTCACTCATTAACATACACATAAACAAACACACAAATTCTCTTAAACACACCCCCACACACACTAACACAACAATAACAGTAGCTGCAACAACAAACACACTTACATTTTACACTACTTTAATATAACCATATATATACATAACATATGTTTTATCTAATTCGAAATTTTAATTTGTACATATTAATACCTCCACCCTACATATTAAACACATTATAATTTTAGTTTTTAAATTTTAAATTTTAATATTTAATTTTATTATTATTATTATTATCATTTTAAATATTTAATTGAAAAAAATTTATACTAATATTTTTTATTATTTATTTTTTTACATTTAACAATAGAATCCTTTTCAATAATATAATTAAAAAAATCAAAAAAATATCATACCAATAATAGTTTTTTTTTTTTTTTTTTTTGTTTATTTTTTTTTTTCTTTTTATTATTAATATATTATATAGTAGTAATTATATAATATTAATGTGAACAACTTTAAAAACAATAAAATAATTAATAATAAATAATAAAAATAAATTAAAAAAAAATTAAAGAAAATTAAAATGATAAATCATTCAACATCATTAAACCTCTCAAACACAACAATTCCATTTGCCAGCGGGTCAGCTTTAACATCAGCACTAACATTACCACCTTTACTAAGTAGTGTAAATAGTAGTCATGCTATTAATAGCAATGGATCACCAATAAAAAAGAAAAATGAAATAGAACAATTAACAACACAATCATATATTTCATTTCCAATTTTAACAAATACAAACCAAATGATTAGAAGAAGAGATAGTATCAGTAGCCCAAACTCAACCACTAGTGAGTCTAGTTTGAGTAGTAGTCTCAGTAGTAGTAACGAAAATAATTTTAGTAATGACGAGGGTAGCTTAAAAAGATTAAGATATTTATCAAACCTGCCACAAAATAATAATAATAATAATAATAATAATAATAATAATAATAATAATAATAATAATAATAATATTAATAATAATAATAGTAATAATAATAATAGGATTAATAATAATAATACCAATAATAATACCAATAATAGTATAGTGTTTAATTCAAACAGTAACATAAATAATTGGAGTGGTTCCAATCATTTTGAAGAAGTAAGTATTATTTTTAAAATTTAAAAAAAAATAAAAAAATAAATTACTAATTTTTCATTTTTTTTATATAGATTGTAAATATAGTATTAGATCTCGAATCTGTTTTAAATAATAATTGTAAAAAAATTGAAAATGGCGCAAACGAGAATATAAATAAAATAGTAGGCATATATTTTACTTTATATAAAAAACCTATTATTTTTTATTAATATTAATTATATTTAAATATATAGATATTTAGTTTAAAATCTCAATTAAAGTCATTAGAAAAATCAGTTAAATCAACATATTATAAAAAAGAGTTTGAAATTTTAGAATTAAAAGATAAATTAAATAATTTAGATAATAATAGTAGTTTTAATAATAAAAACAATAATAATCAAAATAAATCTGTTAAGGCAGTATTAAATAATAGTCATGATAATATACAATTAAACAATGGTTTAGATATTATTAATACTAGTCCAAGAGATATTAGTAATAATAGCAATAATAGCAATAGCAATAATAATAATAATAATAATAATAATAACCAGTTGTCATCATCAATTTCAACAGTTACATCATCATCATCATCATCATCATTATCTAGTAGTAATGGTTTCTCTAAATCTCATATACTATCAATATTGGATGATTTAGATTCAGAATCATCCAATATTAGTAGTGATTCAGAAGATGATGATCAACCAAAAAAAATCATAAGAGATAATAATTATAAATCACCAAGTCATTCAAGCAATAGTGGTTTTAGTAGTATTAGTAGTATAACTAATAATGTAAATATTAAAGTATCTAAAGATAGCCAATCATCTATATCCTCAGATTGGAATACTGCTACCGAAGCCTTATTAAAACTACATAGCACCACTGGTAATACATCTCCACAACATAACCAACATCAATCAAAACAAAATATGTTTATTTCCGATGAAACTGTAAATTTTCAATATTCCAACAATAGCAATAATACGAATAATATAAACAATAATACTAATAATAATAATAGCAATAATAATAATAATAATAACAATAATAATAATGGTGATGGTTCAAATGGATTAAAAAGAAAGAAAAGAGGTAAATTACCAGGTGAAGCTACATCCATTTTAAAGAAATGGCTTTTTGAACATAATATGCATCCATATCCTACCGAAGAAGAAAAGGTTGCGCTCGCCAATTCAACTTCCTTATCATTCAATCAAATTAATAATTGGTTTACTAATGCTAGAAGAAGAATTTTACCAAGACAATTAGATAGAAAGGTTTTTGGAAGTCCCTTATTTTCACATTTTTCAATACAAAAATAAATAGTTTATTATAATATAAATAATTATATAATAACATTATCTTAAAATAAGTTTTTTTTTTTTTTTTTTTAAATTTAATTTATTTATTTTTCTAAAATTATAATGTGTTTTCTTTATGATTCATCATTAAAATGCTATTTTTATTTACTCTTATTTTAATTTTATTATTTATTTTTTTTATTTATTATTGAATTTCTATTCCACAATTATTAAAATTTTTTTTTGTATTTTATATGAATAGTATTAAACTTAAAAACTATATTTTATTTATTTTAATTATTTTATTGGTAAAGAAGTTAAGCACAACTTTATAAAATGGGATATACAGCACCACATGATTAGAAAAAAGCTCTGCAATAATAAGGGTAACATATTACTTGATACATAGTTTCTAAATCACCAATATCATAACCACCAAACATTTCTCCATTCCATAATAAAATATTTCCTTTATTATCTTAGAGTGGTTGAACTGTTAATGGTCCTCTAAGACCCAATACTGATGAAATTAACTCTATTGTAATTTCTTGGCTTTTGATTTTATATAAATTTACTTAATAAAATAATTTTTGTTAATAATTCTCAGAAAAGAGATAATTTTGGTGATTGACTGTTGTTTTGGTTTTTATTTATGTTTTATTTTAAATATTTTTATATTGGTATTATAAGAGATTTATTTTATTGATGATGGTTACAAACTTTTTGGTATTTATTTAATAGCTTTATTATTTTATTTAAACTCTTGTTGATAACCAAATGGCAGTTTTGGTACCCATTTTAACTAATTCTGATAAGGGTTTGTAAAGTGGAGCTAATTCGGCATCGTGCTCAATACCAATGTGCATATGTTCCATTTCATCATCTCTAAATTTTTTAATTGTTTCTCTTAAATCTTTATCGTCAATTTCGTAGTCGTTTAATTGTCTTAGTTGGTCATTGTAGTGATCAGAGATAACAGTTTCTACAGCAACAGTGACAGCCATGGCAGCTTCTTTACCCATTAATGCTGAAACATATCCTAAGCCAAATCCAGCAACATTCCAAATTGGTGATAATACTGTTGGTCTAACACGCTTTTCATAAATTAATTGATTAAATTTAGCTTGATGTTCTTTTTCTTGATCTGCCATCTCTCTGATTAATGGTCCTTCTTTAGTTTTGGCTAATACTGCTAATTGACCTTCGTAAATTCTTGCTGCACCAAATTCTCCTGCATGATCGACTCTTATAATTCTTTCTAAAATCTCTCTTTTAATTCTTTCTTTTTCACTTTTATTTACAAATTGTTCATTGGTACCATTATTGGTTGTAGTTGTATAATTTAAAACTGATTTATTTAAATATCCACTTTTATTTAATTGTCTAATTGATCTACTAATCATTTTTATTACTATACTATTTATATATATTATGTATTTATAACAAAGATAAAAAAAAAAATAATTAAACTATCTAAACAGCAAATTAATTCATCATATGAACCAAAAAATAAAAAATAAAAAATTAAAAAAAAATTAAAAAAAAAAAATTAAAAAAAAAAAAAAAAAAAAAAAAAATAATAATGGAATATTTATATATCCCAGACATCTTAATCTTTTTCCTTAAAAGAAAGTTCATTTAAATATCGGAAATTATGTTAAAGAAATATATTATTTCCTTTTTAATCTTTTAAAATAAATTTTAATATCTTAATTTTAAAAAAAAAATGTCAATGATTAAAAAAAATAAAGATATATATTTTTATTAATTCATTTATTTTTTTTATTTTTTATTTTTTTAAAATTTTTTAATATTTTATTTATAATTTAAATCAAATAATTAAAAGTATTTAAATTAGTTGATTAATGGAAATTGATTTATAAAATGATTCTTATTTTGAAGTTTGAACTAAAATGATATAATAAGTTATGATTACATTACATATCTCATTAATCACCTATTTCATGTATGGTTGATACACAGATAGAATAGGCTATTCAATATTATTCGAAATGATCACCTGGAAGATAAAATGAATAAGCGAAATAAATATCGGTTTTACACATCTTTGGAAGTTGTTGGACAAGATTATTCTCCAACCTAAAAATTTAATTGCTCACTCCATATTCGCATTGTAACTCACCGACCAATTTGGTCTTTGATGAAGTTATTATTGGTAGCGCAATAATTTTTACAAATTGAAACTATTTTCAAAAAAAAAAAATTTTATATTGAGCATATAAACTTTGATTTTATGGGAAAAACTAAACAATACTAGTTTGTTTTTAATTAAAAATTATATTAAAAAAAAAAAAGTGTGTGTGGTGGGATTATAATTTAATTTTTTTATTTATTAATTTTTTTTTTTTAAAAATTTTTTTTTTTTTTTTTTTTTTTTTTTTTCAATCATTCTTTATAATTTCAAAATAACAGAAACAAATAATAATACTTAAAAAAAAAACTATTAAAAAAAAAAAAAACTTATTAAAGGTGAAGATTATAGGGATGGCCATTAAAAGCAACACAAGCTTACCTCGAATCGGGTTAGAAATTAGAAGTGATTATTGGACAGTGATTGGTATGAAAATATAGAAGCTTTAGAAACTAGCCCACAAGAGATACTCCTGCCACTCCTTCCACTCCCAGTTTGGTTATAATCCCTTATATTTACTAAAAGAAATTATAGATTCTTTATTATAATTCAATAATAATAAAAAAAAAAATAAAAAAAAAATAAAAAAAGATAATTAATTTTCACACACAATAATAATAATGATATTAAAAAAAAAAATTGATTCAATAAATTTTTTATAAATAAAAATAATAATAACAGTCTCGCAAGTTTCTGAATCACACACGAATTGATGTTACCGTGCCCAACTTGTATGCAGTGTGGTAAAGCTCATTTAAGTATAAAACACATACCGAAACAAAACAATAACACAATAAAAATACTGATGACTTAAAATAGTCATTCCAAGAGCTAAAAGAACAGTTCTCAGTCTTTTGCAAGGAATTTGCCAATTGGCTCTCTAAAAGGCCCATTGTAGTTTAAGTAGTAAAATGTAAAAAACTGTAATAAATAAAATATTAGGATTAATCTTTTAATACTGAATTGTGCAATCACGGAATCTTATGAGGTAGTGCAATCCGCCCATGAAAAACCACCCTTTTACAAATCATCATTTTTGGTTAACGCCCTAGCAATATTTAAAAGGATTGTTCTAAGGTTTAATGTTTTTTTATAAAACTCAATTCAAACAAATAAACCTCCTTTCATTAAATGATAATAAATTTAGTGAATTTAAAAAAATTTTATATTAGAAATAATATAAAATTTTTTTTATATTTATTTGTTTCTTTTTTTTTAATTTCTCTTTATTTTTTTATTTTTATTTTTTATTAAAACTAATTCACAAATTCAAAAGTTATGTTAAAAACCTGTTCAAATTCTCTCGATTTCTGGTATCAAAAAACAATTGACTTTATTTAGTTTATTTGGATCAAGTTTGATGATATGTTTATGAATGTTAATAAATTTTGAAAGATTTTAAAATGGTTGCTTTGAAATTAAACTTAATTCTAATATTCTTTTATTATTATATGATATATATGGTAATACTTCATTAAAAACTAATGAATTTAATTTTAATTTTATTTCCATACTATTTAATTTATATTAAAAAAAAAATATCAATTAATTTGTGGCTTTGTGAAAAGGAAAATTAAAAAAATTAAAAAATAATACTTTAAAATTTCTGCGCACTCACAATTATAATAATGATATTATAATTTATTCATTACCCATAAAAATGATATTAAATAAAAATTTTTTAAAAAAAAAAAAAGTTTACCATTCGCAATCAAAAATATCCTATTTTTAGATTTAAATTGTTATTTTATATAAAAAATAAATAATTGTATAAAATAAAAAAAAAATAAAAAAATGAAAAATAATTATTTTAAATAAAAAAAATAATAAAAAATCTTTTTTTTTTTTTTTTTTTTTTTTTTTTAATTTTTTTTAAAATTTTTATTTTTCATTTTTTCTTTCTTTTTTTTTTATTTTATTTAAAGTACATTCATTTAATAAACCCCAACAAACAATAAAATAGTATATATAATATCTATAATGAAAATTTATAACAGTAAATAAAATAATAGTCCTTTTTTTTTTTTTTTTTTTTTTCTTTTTTTAAAATTGTACATATATGTCAACACTAGTTTTTTAGTTTTAAAAATATTTATATATTTTTTTTTTAATTTTTTGTATAAATAAATTATAATAGTTTTTAAACATCACAAGCAAACAAATTACAAAAATTTTTATTTATTTGGTTAAATAAAAATAATAATTATATATAAAATAAAATGAATAAAAATAACTCTAATACAACAAATAGCCCAATGAATAATTATTCAAGTGGTAGCAATAGTGGGGGTGGCTCGGGAAAATATGAAAATACCTCATCCCCAAAAACAACAGTTCTAAAAAAGATTAAGGATATGTTTGGTTCTTCAAATTATCAAAGCAATAATCAAAACAACAACAACAATAATAATAATAATAATAATAGTAACAACAACAGTAATAATATTAATAACAATGAAATTAATGAAGAAAATGATTATAGTTACAACTCAGGTTCACTTAGTCATAGTCAAAGCAGCGGAAATTTATCATTATTAAATATTATAAATAATAATAATCAATATTCAATTAATGATATCGAAACTATAAATGATCGTTTAAGAGCAGAATTAAGAAATAACAAATATCTTACTTTGGGAAGTAGAGTGACATTTTTAAAAGAATTTTGTGATTATATAAAGTTTTTTAGAATGGAAAATATAGAACAGGTCTGGAATTGCGCAAGTGATTTAGTTGAAGACAATAAACCAATCGAAGCTCAAATTGTAGCCATGCAAATGATGTTGGCATTAATCGAGAGCAATTATGGTATTTTGGGTGACCTTAGATCTATATTTTATCAAATAATCACCGATAATAAAAGTATAAATATATTACAATTAAGTAATAGTAATAATAATAATAATAATAATAGTAATAATAATAGTCAACAATCTCAACAACTTGTAAATAATCATAACACCACCACCTCAATAAATAATGCAAATTCATCACCTTCATCATCAATTTTATCAAATAGCCACAAATCATTACCACTTATAAACTATCATGCACAATTTAATCAACAACAACAACAAACACTTTTGCAATTAGCCTCATCACCATCAACCAATAATCTATCAACTTCATTACCACACCACTCTTATTTACAACAAGAAATAAACATATTGTCTCCTTCATCATCGACATCAAATATAATATCTCCTCCCCAGCAATTATCATCATCACATAATCAACTACCAACGTCATCACCTCAACCAATTGTAAATGAAAAATCAAACCTATCATCATCACATAACCAATTACCATCAGCAGCTTCACCCTCATCAAATATAGCGTCGCCCTCATCAAATATTGCATCATCTCATTTATCAACAAAGTCATTTCAAGAGCAACTAACCCAACAGATTCAACAACAACAGTTACAGCAACAACAACAATCAAACTTGATTTTATTAAATTCTAAAATTAAAGCATTTGGATCGTTAATAAAGCAGGGTAAAGATATGATTCCATTTGAAAACGAGGTTATTCAGGTATTAATCACATGGTTATCAATTATGTCAAATCATTATAGAAACTCATCAAATATCTCCAATACTGGGTTTGATGATCTTTTAGTGATGATCGAAAATATTATAAAAAATGGTAGCAGTATATTAACCGAAGGTGATATTGCTTCGCTCATCGATGCAATGTGTATACTATGCAATTCAACTAGCTCCATTGGAATTATAGAATCTTGTCTAAACTTCTTTAATATCATTACAAAGATGGTAGTAATACCTCCATCTTGTGTTTCTATGGTAATTGGATCACTTTGTAGAACTGTAAATATTGAAAGTGCTTGTAATTCAAGTTGGGAAACTATGCAAAGCTTACTTGAAAAGTATGGTAATCAAGGTATTCATTCATTATGCTCCATTTTAAATGATCCACAAAATAGAAATACTATAAACTTATTACGTGGCGCTGTTTTCTTTATTGGTATGTCCATTTGGGGGTCTCAACGTATAAGCTCATTACACATTAGTGCTGCAGTGGTATTACCATCACTTTATAACTCACTTTCAGGCAGACAAGAGATTATAGCATATGAAGTAATTTTGGCATTGCGAAGACTAGTAAAGAAATACGGCGGTAATCTTAATGTCGAATGGGATCTAATATTTTTAATTTTTGAAAGAATGCAAAGCTTACTTGTAAATAACACCGATCAAGAAAATGCAAACAACTCATTATTTAAAGTACTCCGTGATACAGTCTCCTATATTGAAGAGCTCGAAGAGAAACAATGTTTTGAAGGTAGTAAAAGTGGATTATTTGAAATTTCAGCTCCCTACTTTAAATATAAAACTGAAGACGCAATTTTGATGGCCATAGATAAACAAAAAACCAAAATTCACCCATCTCATGCTCTTTGGATTAAAAAGATGTCACTTTTAATCGATTTGTTTTATAGAAAAGATCCAAGAACCAGAATTAGAAAGAGGATACTTCTAAGTATAAGGCAAATCTATTTTCAATTTCAACAAATATATGGCGAAGAAATATTGGAAAAAATAGTAGCACCAACATTTATCGACATCTATAGAGATCGTGATGTACATATCCGTACTTATGGTATCGAAATTCTAATTGAAATATTAACCAAATCTGCTGGTCAACTATCTAGTAGTGTTTTTCATCAGTTATTATCAATTTTAGAACGTTCCATAATGATTTCATCCCATAAAGAAATGATAGTTTATTTAGAAATATCAAAGATATCTATTCGTGGTCTTATTCAAATATTTAAGAATCAATTGTTCCATTCACCTCCACAATTATCTCTAGATCTTTGGTCCTTAATCCTTTCTCAAATATCAAACGATAGTCTAATCATTAGACGTGAAGTATTGTATTGTATTTCAAACCTATCATCAAACAAATGGTATCAATTAATCTTTCAAAACCATTCAAGTTTGTTTTTACATTTTTCTCAAGCCAACAACTTTTTAAGTGATCTTTCAAAGATTTTAACAAAATCACCAATGTCACCAAGATCACCAAGATCAATTGAATTAAATAACGATAATAATAGTAACAACAACAACAATAATAATAATAACAATAACAACGAATCTGATAATCAAAATTTTCAAAATGTTGAAGAGGATCTTGATGATATAAGTAGTAATGGTAGTGTTGAAGATAATCATAATACAAACCAACAACAATCACAAACATCAATTCATCAGACAGCAGCAACAGAAAATCAAGCTTTATCATTGTCAACTTCATCTTTACCAAACCCACCCACAGTTAAGAAACAATACAACCCAAATGATGGCGGTTGTTTTTCAAATATTAATATTTGGAATGCTTTATTAGAGCGTTTAGTTAAAGAAACAAATTATGAATTATATTTAATGATTCTTGATATCATTTCAAATCAATTAAAGAATAGATATATTTTACTAGGTTTGGAGAATGAAACTCAATCGCTTGTAAATTTATTATCAAAATCCCTATCTGATAGAACTCTTGGCATTTGTATCAATGATTTCCAAGTAAGTAAATTATTTTTGTGTATCAGAAATTATTTAAAAAAATCATAATATTAATATTAAATTTTTTAGAATTTAGAAAATAATAAAAAAGAAACATTATATATTTTATCATTGGAAATTTTATGTAATTTAATAGCATACCAAAATCCATCATCACCATTTGAAAAATGCCAAAATTCAATTTCGAATATGATCACAACATTAACATTCTGCTTGGGCCAAAAATGGTCAAATGAAAATAGAAGTAAAGTGCACTCAATTTGCTTAAACGGTTTAATGATATCTGCTGTAGATTTCCCATTTAAAATTACTTTAAAACACATTCAAAATATTACAAAATCATTATATTCAGTAAGTTATTAATATTATATAAAAAAAAAAAAACTATTTAAAAAACTAATTTTTAAAATTTTTTTTTTAGATTTTAACAAGTAGTAACACAAATAAAGAAACTTATTTTACAATTTTACAATATTTAAATTTATTAGTTTCCATTGATAACAGTTCGATTGGGCTATCACAGCAGTTACCATTTGAAACATTAACATTTATCTTTAAATTGATTATTCAATTTATTGATAAATCAAGATATAGCTCTTTAATTATTGTTGTAGCATTTCAAAGTTTAATTAGATGGTTTACATCATGTACTCAGTCCACAAGAACCCTATTGGTTAGAAATATTATTAAAACATTGGATAGTCAATTAAGAGAAAAGAAAGATAGTTTGTTAATTGATATCGCTATTGAATTATTAAATCGTTATATTCATACCGATATTGACCCATACCACTATCCAATAAAACACTCGAGTCCATTATTCCAGGGTAGTCAAACTAAAACTTGGTTCCAAAACAGTAGTCCTACATTAATTACAATTAGAACTGGTAGATTAGGTTGGTCTGAAGTTACACTTAGAAAAGCAACTGGCTGCGTATCTTGGCTAATGAGATTCCAAAACAACTTTAATCCATTATTATCCTCGAATAATCTCAATCTCTATAACGAGCTTTCAATGTTAAATGACTATAATCAGCAACAACAACAACAGCAATTGCAACAACAACAACAGCAACAACAACAAATTGATCAAATTTTACAACAAAAGATTATTCAATATCAAATAAATAACCAGCAATCATCGCTAAACCAAAATAATATTTATTTACAACAACAACAACAACTACAATTACAACAACAACAATTAAGACTATTACAACAGCAATTACAGGCTCAGCAGCAACAAACTTCACAATTAATTGTTGAACAGAATTTCAACGAGAAATCAATTCAAAATTTCCAACCATACCCAACCTCATCACCACTACAACAACAATATTACGAACCACCCTCATTTAAAACATTCATTAATCGTAGAAATGAACCAAGTACCCCAAGCTCATCCCCAATTTCAGGTTCTGGCGAGCTCTATCAAAACATCAATACTGGTCAAATATCATTTGCCAAATTACAAAAACAAAAATCACAACAAAAATTCCAACTCTACCAACAACAACAACAACAGCAACAACAGCAACAAGAAAAACAACAACAAAAATCTTTAGTAAAAGATACTTTAGATGAAATTAAAGACTCTGATAAGATTATTGATAGCTTGAATAAATTAATGAAAAAATTAGAATCGTCTTCTTCAAAAGCAAACACAACCGAATCAGCAAAAGAACAATCCTACCTTTCAAAAATCAATTTATCTCATCATCGTTCAAATAAAACCTCACCACATAATGAAAATGATTCATCAATTACAAAATTAGGTTTATCATTCTTACCAAAAGATTCAACTTCATTATCATCAAATAAAAACACACCAACCATTCAATCCTCAAATGATATTCAACTATTATCAACAAACTTTTTAATTTCACCAATGATACAACCAATTGATAAAAAAAATGATAACCAACAAAATGAATTAAAATCATCCAATATTCCTTTATTAACATTAGAATCAAAAAATAATAATAGCAGTAATAATAATAATAATAATATTAGGGAAGTTGGTTTATGTTATGGTGAAAATTATTTAGCCGAAGCAAAAGTACCAAAATTACCGTTGGATAATACAAATACCAAAATCTGTGGCTCAGGTTATAACTACGATAACTCAAGTGTTAATAGCAATGAAAACCTATTCCTAAATAGCAATTTAGAGAGCCCATACAAACTATCTTATGATTCAAATACTGATGAAAATAGCAGCTCAACCCCAACAAGCTATAATAACAATAATGTGCATTCACTTTCGAGATACTATCCTCCACTTCCATCCTATGACGATGATGAAGAGTTATTATCATTCTTTAGCTCCTCAAGCCCAACACAAATGGTATCATCTTCATCAGATTTGAACTCACAGGTTAAATTAAATCTATCAGCTCAACTTTTACTTCATGCTGATCCAAGCTCACCAAATTTAGAGAACATTAATCATTCATTCTTATTTGATGATTATCAACAATCACAACAACCCACTATTCCAATCGAAATCCCTGGTGAAGGTAGTGATAACAATGGTAATAGTAATAGTGGCAGTGGCAAGAATAATCCAAATAAAAATAACATTACCCAAAAAACAAAAAATAGTAGTAACAAAGTTGTACTATTAAATAGTAATACAAATTCTCTGGCCTCATCAAATTCATCTCTTACAAAACCAGAATCCGAAATATTCTCTTTATCTGTTGAAAACGACGATTTGGATCAATACTATAATTATGATAATGGTAATGCAGAGAACTGGAAACCATCAAGGTCAAAGAAAGCCTCCAAACCAAAGAAATCATCAAACAACTCTGTTGGTGATAAACAACATAATCCTATTCACCTATCTACCTCCCCATCAATATCTTCGATTGCAAGTAAAATTAATGAGTTGGAGATTTGTTCTTTAGGATCTACAGCCACCAGAAATGAATGTTTAGTAAAATCCACATCATTTAATATTGAAAGCTCTTCATCCTCCTCAAACCAACAAGCTCATTTAATTTCACCAATTCCTATTTTAGCACAAACTCCCTCACAATCTCCGTTAGGTTCGGTAAAACAAAACCAGTTATTATTAACACCCCAAAAAATCAATATTTCTGAAAGTGCATTTAATATTTTATCTGAAAAAGAAAAAGAAAGTCAATTAGAAAAACCATCGGAAACAAATACAAATACAAATACAAATACAAACAATACAAATATAAATTTTTCCTCATCTTTTAATTCTCAACAAATACAAAATAATAAACCTTCATCGCCACTTAATCAATCTACACCCTCAATTATTAAACAAGACAGCAGTGGCTCACTTTATCATCCAATAATTAGGTCATCATCTCAACAATCACTTTTAACTAAAAAAACAAATAATATTATAGCCAATACCACTTCTATCAACGCAAGTCCCTCAAATCCCAAATCCTATGTTAATAGCAAAGCTTTAAATATTGAATATTTATTAAGTACTAGTCTAAATAACAATAGTAATATAATTAATAATAATATGAATATGAATAATAATATGAATAATAATAATATAACAGCAATATCCCCATCATCTCAATTTGGCAGCCCACATTCAGGATTATCACCTCCACACTCACCATCCCCTCCACCAATCCAACAAGAACCTCATGAACTAGACTATACTATTTTGGATCCATCAATTGTATTTTATCATCTCCATCAATTTTCAGGTGATATCACAACAGAAATTAAAATGGGAAATTCATTTGAACGTTCACTTAGTGTTTTGGATCATACATTTTGTTCTGAAACCTATAAGTTTGGTATACTTTATTGTGCAGCCGATCAAAATACTGAAGAGCAAATTCTCTCGAATAGTAAAGGTTCTCCAAGATACCATCAATTTTTAAACTTGATGGGTGAAACCATTCGCCTTTCTGATCGTCTTGATGTTTATCCTGGTGGTTTAGATAGAACTGGTAAAACCGATGGTGAATATTCAATATATTGGAAAGATAGAATCAGTCAAGTTATATTCCATGTAGCCACTATGATGCCATCCATCGATACCGATAAATTATTTACAAACAAAAAGAGACACATCGGTAATGATTATGTCAATATCATCTTTTCAGAGTCACCCAACCTTTTCAATACTCATTCAAATGATGATGACGATGATGATAATAGTAGCCATTATATTTTAAATCAACACTCATCATCCTCCTCTAGCTCCGACGACGAAAAACTCTCTAAAATTATATCTGGTCAATTTAATTTTGTTTTAATTGTTGTAAATCCTTTAGAAGATGGATGGTATAGAGTCGAAATAAAAAAGAAAAAAGATATCCCAATATTTGGTCCAATTCATAATAATCAAATTATTTCCGCAAAATCTTTACCAACATTAATCACTCAAACTGCTATTAATGCAAACTTAATATCGATGCAATTTGATGGAAAAGTTGACTTTATTTCAAATTTAGAAGAAAGATTAAAACAAATTAAAACAATTAAAGAAAGATTTGCCCAAGATGAAGAAAATAGTTGGCTTGATTTAATTTCATTAAAAAAAATTAACAAATAAAATAAATAATTATAAATTTTTTATAATTTTAAAAAAAAGTTTTTAATTAAAACAAATAAGAAGAAATATAGTTTTTTATTATTTCTATTTTGACAGTAAAATGTAAATTATTTGTTTTTTGTTTTAAATTTAATAACAACATGTATTTGTAACTCCTTCCCATAAATAAACATCAACATTTTTATATATGTCTATATATTTGACCAACCCTAAAGCTTTTAGTACTTTTAAAACAACTCCTGATAGCTTTATATATCTTGATCCTTTTAAGATATTAAAAGTACTTTTATCATTGGAAGGAACACATTTATACATATTAAAGCACAAAGTATCTAATGCTAATGGTAACTAAATTAAAAAAAAATAAAATATTAATTTTTTTTTTTTTTTTGATTATAGTTTTTCAAAACTTACATTTTTCTTTTTTGCATTTAATAATAATTTGAGTACTTGAAGGGTTACATTGTAAATATCATATCTTGAGTAATCTTTTTTTATATCTTGAGTTTGGGAACTGTATCTCATACAATTTTCACATAAGATTGATTCTTTTTCTCCAGTTACATAGTTATGTTCTGAAAAAAAAACTTCATTTAATAAACGCTCAAACTCTCGATTTTGATTTACACCAACCCATTCAAAATAATAGGATCCTACTATTCTAATAACTTTTAATATAGTTAAAACTTCTATTACTTGTTCACACTTTGATAGACATAGATTTAATTGATTTGATAGATCTAAGATATTAAAATTTTTATTTTCTTCATTCTCAAATTTTTTTTTCATTTCTTTAACAATTGATGTTATTTTATAAAAAAATACTGGTTCTTCTTTTCCTTCTACTTTTTTCTTCTTTTTTTCAGAGTTATTGGAACTATTACTTGTAGTAGTTTTAGTTTCACTTTTATTATTATTTCTAATATGACTATCAACATCTTGAAGATCAATATTCTTTGCTGAACTTCTTTTTTTTTTTGAGGTAGCAACACTAGGAGGGTTTTGAATTAATATTGTGCCAAAATCCATTTTTTATAAAAATAAAAATTAAATAAAACTTTAAACAACTTGAAATGAATAAAAAAAAAAAATTAAAATTTATAATTTATAAATAATAAATAAATTTTAAAAAAAAAAAATTATAAACAAAAAAATTAAGTTGTTCAAAAATAGAAACACCCTTGGTAGTTAAGCATTCCTATTATTATCTCAATTATTATTTTTAAAAAATGCGCCTTTATATAAAACTAAAATTTTTTTTTTTTTTATTAATAACTTTTTATTTAAAAAGGAATTTTTTCTGTTTTAAAATTATTTATTATTATAATTGTTGTTGATGTGCATGTTATTGTTATTATTGTAGGGGTTTTTTTTTAAGTTGTTTCCATAATTTTGAAATATTATATGATTCATTTTATTAAGTTGTATCTCCCTCGCCTCTGATTTTGTCAGAGCAGTTAATATTTTCTTCAAAATCTATTTTAATATAATAATCTCCATTTTGAACAATAGATGGTAAATCAATCATTTGCATTTTCGAAAAGGGTTGGGGAATGTTATAATGGTCTTGATAATTAAAAAACACCATTACTATATAGCGCGAGTCAATTTCAAATGATATATTTTTTTTGTTGAACTCTATATTTAATTCACACATAAAATTTTTAATTTTTTTTTTTGGCTAATTTTTTTAAAAAAAAAAACAAAGTATTATTATATTTATTAACGATCGCCAAAATCAAAGAAATTAAACAACATTTCGAAAACCAAAGGTTATATTAAAAAAAAAAACATTAAGAAAAAAACAATTATTGAATATATATGTGCGAGAGTGTGTGTGTGAGTGTGTGTGTATTTTTTATTATCAATGGGTGGGGTAACAGTAAAAAAAACAACAACAAGCAAAAATAGATAAAAAAAATAAAAAATATATAGGAATGGGTTTTATATTGTATTTAAAAAAAAGAAAATGATTGAGATTGTTAATATTTTTTTTTTAATTTTAAATTTAAAATAAATTTTGCTACTTACCATTAAATATTCATAAGCATTAAAAACCACTAAGCACAGAAACAATACCAACATTACTATTAGTAATACTATTTGAACTAGTGAATTTCTATGGAATATAAATAAAAAAATATTGAGTGGTATTATAATAAATAATACTAATGAATTTAATATTGATAGATATGGGGGCAACTTTATGATTGAATTTAAACTATCTACTATTAAACTATACTCTTGCAACGTTAAAACCTCTACAAGTTCCAATGGAAACAATCTAGAATATTCCTTTATTTCACCAAAATACCCAACATCATATTTGATCTGATAGAAATTCATCATTTTTTTTATATATATATATAATTTATTAATATAATCTATAAATTTTTTTTTAAAAAAAAAAAAAAAAAAAAAAGAAAAAAAAAAAAAAGAAAAATAAAGAAAAATAAAGAAAAAAATAAAATATAAAACTATATATTTATAATAATCATAAAATTATAAAAAAAAAAAAAGTTAAATTTTTAAAATTAAAATTATAAAAATTTAATAATAAAAAAATATTAAAATAAAAAATCAATTATCTAATAGGTCAGGTTAGGAAATATTTACTTTTTTTAAACTTTTATTTCTTTTGTTTAATTTATGCAAATTTAAAAAAAAATCTTTTTTTTTTTTTTTTTTTTTTTGAAAATTTGGGAAAAGAAAATTTTTTTTTTAAAATCTTTTTTTTTTTGTCGAATATTTTTAGAAATTATTTTAAAATTTTTTTTTTTATTTTTTTTTTTTAAAAAATAATTTTACAAATTAATACAATGTCTTTGAAACATATAATTATTTTTGAATTAGATATAAATTTATTTTTCAATTAATTTTGAAACTCTTTCAAACTCTTGGCTAACTTGGTTGAAGAGGGTACGTAAATTGTTAAATTCTTCTTTGATATCTTTGGGGGCTGGGGATTCTGAGGAACCTGAAGCAGCGGCAGTTGGTTTTCTTGCGGATGATTTAGCAGCAGATTTTGAAAGTGGTTTCTTTGGAGTGGATGGTTGTTCATCAGTATTGGATTCGGTGGAGGTATTTACATCATTACGTGAAGCAGTAACTTTTTGTTTCTTTTTTGAAGCATCTTTTGGTGAAGAAGTTTCTTCTTTAGCAGCAGTGGTAGTTTGCTTTCTCTTTTTTTCTGCTTTTTTGTTTGATTTTTCTTCTTCTTTTTCTTTTTCACTATCAGTATCGTTTTCAGTTTTGGTTGATTTTTTGGTTTGTTTACCCTTTGATTTAGTTTCTTCTTTTTCTTCTTCCTTATCCTCTTTTTTACCTTTACCTTTACCTTTTGATTTAGTTTCTTTAACTGGTTCTTCAACTTTATCTTCTTTCTTGCCTTTACCTTTTGATTTGGTTGGTTCTTCAGCTTTTTTTTCTTCTTTTTTACCTTTGGTAGTTTTTTTGGTTTCTTTTTCACTTTCACTTTCGCCTTCACTATCGCTTTCACTATCTTCGGTCTTCTTTTTGGTTGGCTTTGCTTCACATTTACATTTTGATAAATATGAGTCTATATCTGCAGTTTTAGTTTGCCAAAAGTACATCTTTAAAGCTTCTTGGAATTTATTTTTACTTCCATGACCATTGTCATCATGTAAAGCTTTTAATAAAGCTGGTAACTCTGATTTTTTTGGGATGGTTCTATAAGCTTCTGATACTGTGGGCATAAAAAAAAAAAAAAAAAATTTTAATAAAAAAATTTTTAGAAAAAAAAAAAAAAAAAAAATGAAGGTTAGATAAATTCATATGGAAATTTTATAATTAAAATATTTTTATGATTTAATTATTTAATATTTATAGGTTATACTATTCTTTAGTTTATTTTTTTTATGCTTTTGGGGTCATAAAATTGGGGTATTAATTATTTAGTAAAACCGATTTTATTATTTTTTTTTTTTTTTTTTTTTTTACTTACCCCTTTTTTGTAAAACATCTTTGCCATCGACTTTTCTATATACAAAGTTTTTGGGAACCCCTTCGATTTTTTCTTTTTCACTTTTGTTTTTGCCAGTGGAAGCATCGGTATTATTTTTTAAAATTGTAACGTGAAAATCATATTTATCATCTTCCATTTTTTTATTTATATATTATAAAATTTTTTTATATTTATCGTTGAATGAAAAAATTAAAAAATAGAAAAAAAAAAAAAAAGGGCGACTAGAACGATTTTTTTTTTTCAAAAATTTTGAAAAAAAATTAAAAAAAATTAAAAAATTATAAAAAAAAAAAAAAATTTTAATTTACCTGTGTTTTTTTTTTTTTTTAAAAAAAAACCAAGGTTTTTGTGTGTAAAAAACGGCCAAATCTTTTTAATTTTTTTTTTTTTTTAAATAAAATTGGTTTGATTTTTTAATATTTTAATATGAAATTGCTCAAAAAAAGTGTTTTATAAAAAAAAAAACAAAAAAAAAAAAAAATAAAAAAAAAAAAGCATGAGTTTTTTAAATTGATTTTTTTTTTTTAAAAACAAAGAAACGATTATAAAGATGGAGGGAAATATAGTAATTAAAAAATGTAATATTCAAGATGTGTTAATACTGCGACATCAAGTCATGTACCCCGAAAAAGATTTAAAATATGTAGAGGTTCCAGGTGATTATGATGAAAGTACTATCCATTTGGGGCTATATGACAACAGAAAAGAAGACGGAGACAAGAAACCAATATCAGTAATGTCTTTGTTTATTAAAAAAGAATGTGGTGATATGCAATTTAGGAAATTTGCAACTATGGTGGAGCATCAAAATAAGGGTTATGGAACAATATTGTTCAATTATGTTTTAAATTTTGCCAAAGATAATAATATTAAAAGAATATGGTGTAATGCCCGAAAAGAAAAAATAGACTTCTATTTAAGAAAATTTAATTTTAAAGAAACAAATCAAACATATACCAAGGATGGCAGAGAGTTTATTATTATAGAATTAATATTATAAATTAAATAAAAATTAATTGTAATTTCAAAAAAGGAATTTATTTTCCCAAAAAAAAAAAAAAAAAAAAAAAAAAGATTTTTTTAATTTTTTTAAAAATTTTTTATTAAAAAATATTTTTTTTATTTTTTTTCTATTTTTTACATTTAAATAATATGAACATTAAACCCTACCTTTATATCTTTTTACAAAAATGAGTACAAGTAGTAGTGGTAATAGTTCATTAAATAATAGTACTAATAACATTGGTGGTACATTATCAGCATCCTCTTCATACAATTCACTAAACTCATTGACATCACCTCCAAATACCAGCAGTTATAATAATGTATATCTAAATAATATTAATAGTTTCAATAATAATAGTAATAATAATAATAATAATAATAATACTAGCTTCAGTAATAATAGTAGTTATAATAGTGAATATGTACCATTATGTTTCAACAAGGATGTATTTATATCAAATACATTTGATGTTGATACATTTATAAGTGACTGTAGAAAACGTGTAAATTTAGAAAGTGTTCAAAAGGATCTTAGAGAATATAGCAGACATTTAGATTCAGAGTTAATAGAATTAATTAATAAAGAATACCAGTCATTCTTTTCACTGTCATCATCATTGATAGGTTTTGATGTTATTTTAAATGAATTTATCATAACACAATCGTCAATTAAATCAGAAATTTTAGTAAGCACTATTTAAATTATATTAATTGTTATTGATATTTTAATACTGACCTTTTTTTTATTGTTTTTTAGTCGTTTAAAAATGAAGTAAATAAAGTTAGGGAATGTGTTGAAGAAAAATTAAATGAAAAGAAATCGATTGATCAAAAAAAGAAATTATTGCAATTATATATTTCAATACTAGAGACTTTAGGGAATATGAACCATTTATTTGATCAACTATTTCAATTAACACACCCAGACGATTTTAAAAAACCACAAATTCAAAAACCAATTGATCCTAATAATGGTGAAAAAGATGTTTTGGAGTTATTAATTGAGAGAATTTCAAATTCATTTTATCAAATTCAAAACCAAATGTCATCATTATCACAAGAAGAGTTAAACTATAATATATTCCAATCGTTAGCTTTTGTAGGTGTTTATATTTTATTATCTTTATATAAAATTATAATATTAATATTTTAAAAAAACTTTAAAGAAAATAAAAGATTTAGCAAATAAGATTGAGGAAAAAATTGAACCTATTTTTAAAGAGTCATTAAAGAGATTTATTAATAAAGATCAACAGCAAAAAGAAATTAATGAAAAGGAAAGAAATGATGAAAAAATATTGTTGGCATGTTTAAGATGTTTCCAAATTATCGATAAAATTAATATACCATACAAATTATTTAGATCTTTAATTTTAAAACCAAAATTTTCACAAATTATAACTTTAAGAAATTTAGAAATTAATAAATCAACAACAGACGGCTTAGAACAAATATATAATGGATTATTAGATTTCTTAACAACTACCTGCACACCATTTTTCAATATTTCAAATTTAACAAATAGTAATTTAATCAATGATAGTAAATCACCTAAATCAACAACCCCTTTATCATTATCTTCTTCATCAACATCAATTTCAAGTGTTAATAGTAACAGCGGCATAGGTAATGGCGGCAATAATATATTAAATAACTATAACTTCTTTTCAGAATCAGTGCTACCAGAAATCGATGAGTCATTGGTCCATTTTAAACAAATTTTTGCCACTGGTATACCCGACTTATTTTACAAAAATTACTATTTAACATTCAACTTTATTCAAGCTATTGAACTAAATTTCCTAACAACATCTTCCAATACAAATAAAGACCAATTAATTCAATTTAGACAATCACCACACTATACAAGTTTATGGAAGAAATGGAATTTTGCTGTTTATTTCCAATTAAGATTTACCGATATTGCCACAAATTTTGAATTCAATTATTTGAATATACCGCTATTTGATCAATTGGTTATACCTGGTGGAAAGGAACAACAGGGAACTGTATCATCTACATTCTTTATGAAGTCATCAGATGGTTTATGTGTATCATTAGATAAATGTTGGTCAACCAATTCAATTTTTATATTTGATTTATCTTCAAAATTCTTTAGATTATTTTTACAACTCATCTCAAGATATGACAGCTATATATCAGATACATTAATACCTTTAGAGCAAGAGTTAAAAATTCAAAAAGAACAGGAGCAGTTACAACAAGAGCAAACCCAGCAACAACAACAAACATCACAATCTACATCTGAAGCCACATTAAACATTTTACAAAAATATTCAAATATAACATCACCAAATATTTCTCAAAGACCCTCACCTAATCAAGCTCTTAGTAATAAACAAGCATCGCCTGATAATTTTGTTTACGTTTTATCTGATATACTTCAAGTTAAATCAAAAATATCAACATATTATAGGGATTTAATTTTAAAAACAATTGGAAAACATCAGAATGAAAATGAAATAATAAATTTAATTTCAAGTAAGTATTACTTTTTAATTTTACAAATTATTATTTATTTTAAGAATTATTAATTGTTTTTTTTTTATTTTTTTTTTTCTTACAATTAGATGGTATTTTAGAAAGTTGTAAAACATTGGATCAGTTATTGCCAAGAATTTCACTTTTGATTACAAATCATTTAATTAATAAATGTTCAGATAGTTTACAATTTATTAGTACTATTCGTTCCACATATCGTATGACCAATAAACCTCCACCAACTCAAGCATCAGCATATGTTTCAAGAATTATAGAACCATTACAATTATTTTTAAAAAACAAAGCAGCTCCATCTCATATACCATCTGATATTAAATTAAACTGGGCTATACTTGTATTAACACCAATAACAGAAGGGTAAATATTTATTTTAATATTCATTTTTATAAAAATAGAACAATATTAATATTTTTTTTTTAGATTTAAAAATGAAGCTAGCAATGTTATACAATCAGTCACACAATCTAACGATATATTAAATAAAATGGTAAAAAGAAATAAGCCAACATCATCCTCAACAAACGAAATGTCGGACATAGATAAAATTTCAATCCAATTATTTTTAGATGTCGAAAAATTTGGAAATTGTATAAAAGATTTAGGAATTGATTTATTATCATTCTCTCAATATTTATCTTTAAAAGAATTGGTAGAACCATTTAAAAAAGTATGTGTATTATAGATCTATATTTAATTCCAAATTACCAAATAATTAATATTAATATTAATTTTTATTTTTATTTTAATTTTGTTTTTATATTTATATTTATTTTTATTTTTATTTTATTTTTATTTTTAAATTTTCCAAATTTTTTTTTTTTTTTTCATATGCACTTTTTTTTTTTTTTTTTCATATGCACTTTTTTTTTTTTTTTTTGTAATTACAACCACGTATACCAAATTAGTTAATAAACGATCAAAATAAATAATTAAATAAATAAAAAAAAAAATAAAAATAGTTATTTGAAAAAATGAGAAAAAGTTTTTTTTCAAAATTTTAAAAAAAAAATTTTTTAATTTTAATTTTATTTTTTTTAAATTATTTTACCTTTATTTTTAATTTTATTTTTTTATTTTTTTTATTAATTTATTTATATATAAAACACACATTGTTTTTTTTACATATTATTAAACTCATAGTTTTAATATAATAATAATAATCTTTATATACATTTTTTTATAATATAATATTAAACAATTATTGTTTTTTTAATTGTTTTTATTTTTTTTTTTTCGGAAAAACATTGTAAAGCATAACTCTATTTCTTTTTAAATAACTTTCCTATTATATTTATAAAGATAACTAATAAAAAAATTAAACCAAATAACCATATTGGGTTTTGTAGAATAATAGAAACATATAATGGCTTTGGTAGGTTTATAATTTAAAAATAATTTTAAAATATTTATAAATATTAACATATGCTATTTTTTCATTAATTTAAGGCATTTCCACCACATGCTATTCAAGCTATTTTAGATATAGAAGCAGGATTATTAAATAATAGATTCTTTCACAATTTAGATGATGAGTTAAATCTACAACCACAATCATTAAGAGAGTCTAGACTCCAAAAAACATCAACAAACAGATTCTCTAAATTTAAAAAATTATTACAAGAGCCTATAATCAATTTAGAAGGACTACGTTCATTATCATGGGGGGGTATACCAAATGAACATCGTCCTTTAGTTTGGAAGATTCTTTTGGTAAGTTTATAATATAGATTTATTTAGTATTCTACAGCATCACGGAATAGATAATTAATTAATTGTTTATTATTTAGAATTATTTACCACTAGAACAAAAAAATCATAGTAAAGTTTTATTTGAAAAAAGAAATCAATATAAACAATTAGTTAAAAAGTTTTATCAAGGTAGTACACCAGCAGATGAAAAAATATTAAATCAAGTTAAATTAGACGTACCCAGAACTATACCAAAAGGTTTTAATAATACACCTTTATTTAAGAGTGCAATTTTACACAGTGTTTTAGAAAGAATTTTATATGTTTGGTCATTGAGCAATCCTTTAATTTCATACTTTCAAGGTTTAAATGATATACCAGCCCAATTTTTATTAGTATTTTTATCAGAGAATATACGTAAGTTAAATATTTTTTAATAATAATAATAAATAATAATATATATTAATAATCTTAATTTATTTATTAGAATTATGGGGTGATATAAAAGATTTGGATATAGATACTCTAGATAAAGTAGAGGCAGATGCATTTTGGTGTTTTTCATTATTAATGAATAATTTAAAGAACAGATTTATTGAATTTGGTGAAGGTATTCAAAGAATGTCAGATATATTAAAGCAATTGGTCCGTTTGAAGGATGTTGGATTATCGGATCACTTAGAAGAAGAAAACTGTGACTTTGTATTGTTCTCCGTAAGATGGATGATATGTTTATTGTGTAGAGAGTTTGAATACACTCTATCAACTCGTCTTTGGGATAGCTATGTCGCTCATGGTCCTAATTTTGGTCATTTCCATATTTATATTTGTGCCGCTTTAATTACAACCAAAGAATGGTCTAAACCATTAAAAGAAAAAGAATTTTCTGATGCCATTGTATTCCTCCAACACTTACCAACCGATCAATGGAACATTTGCCATATTGATTATTTAATAGTAAGAGCTTATAAAATATTTTTATTAGAAATTAGATCACTGGTTCAAAACTCTTTAAAATCATTACAGTTTAATAACACCGAAGATAACAGTAATAATGAAAATAATAATAATAATGTAAATAATAATAATAATAGCAATATTATAAATAATAATATTATAAATAATAATTTAATATTAAATTCACAAATGAAGGAAATTAATAATTTATATAATCATATTCAAAAACCAAATAATAACAATAATAATTCACTCGAAATTTTTAAACAGAATATTCAACAAGTTCACCAACAAACTTTATTATCATCACTTTCAAATGAAAATATAGTAAATACTGAAATGATTGAGAGGGTTTTAGAAATTATGCCCGTTAATATTGCAGATTTTTCTCTTTTGTCACCGGAAGATGCCACTAAGGAGCTAGTTAAACATGTTGTTCAAAATCTAGTATTAATTATGGGTACCCTTTTATTGACTAGTGTAATTTTATTAATTGTAATCATAACTTCAACTTTAACTATCACCGCCATGGAATTTTATAATAATAATAGTAAGAAAAAAAAGGATTTGGATTAATTTTTAAATAACCCCTTTTCTTTTTTTTTTTCTCCATTTCCAAAAAAAATAATAAATAAATTAAAATAAAATAATAAAATTAACAAATGTAAAATACTTATTTTTTTAACATTTCTCTTAATAAAAATCTAGATAGTATTTATATAAATACCCATTTTCCTGAAAATTGGAGATATTTTTTATCCACCTAAAAAAAAGAGTAATAAAAATATTTTTTTTTAAAAATTTTTTTTTTATTTTTTTAGGAGACACGTAATAAAATTTGTTTTTTTTGTTTTTAAAAGTTATTTTAAATTTAGAAAAAAATAAAAAATTTAATCAAATATATATTAGTAAAAAATGAATAATCAATACATTCCATTAGATCAAAATAATAACACCAGTTATCCCCCACAACAAAATCAACCAACAACCCAATTTTTCAAAGATCAACAATACAGCCAACCACAACCACAACCACAAGTTTACAATGCTCAATATTATCAACAACCAGCACAACCAGCTGTTTATGGTCAACCAGCCTATGCTTCAACCACAGTTTCAGTAACTTCTTCACACCACAAGAGTCATTGCAACGATGACCACCATGTTCTTCCAGCAGTTATATTATTTGTTCTTGGTTGGTTCTTCTATATTCCATGGATGTATGTATTAAAATTTTAAAAACAAATAATATGTGTTTAATATTAATTATTTTTTTTTTTTTTTTTTTTTTTTTTTTTTTATAGCATTAACATTATGTATATTAAATCAAAGAATGGCATGGCTAAGGGTTTTGCTATTGCTAGTGTTGTTTTCTTTTTCATTGGTATCATTATCACAGTCATCTATCTTATTGTTTTCTTTGTATTTTTAGATAAAGTTTCACATGCTATTAACACTACAAGTGGTATCTATACAACAACTGGTGTCTATACAACCACTTCATCAACTTCAGGCTTCAGTTCATCATGTGATTATAATTATAGCTATTGTTAAATAAAATAAAGTTTTTTTTTTTTAATATTTAAAAAAAAAAAAATAATAAAAAGACACAATAAATTTTTATAAAAACATTAAGTTTTTTTACCATTTTAAATTTTTTATAGTTTTTAAAAGTTTAAAATCAATCAACAAAATATTCAAATTTTTTTAAAAAAATTTGCAAAAGAAAATTATTATTTAAATTATAAAAAGTTTTTTTTGGTTTTATAAATGTTAAAAATAAATAAGATTTTTATTTTGGGTTTTGAGTTTACTAATATACAAATAAAAAATAGTTTAGATAAATTTAAAAGAATTTCTTATTTTTGGCTTTGTTGGTTGACATTGAGGAGTAGTTGTATAATACATTTGCAGTTTCATCCATTCTTTGATTTTGACGTAATGAAGGGGTCATACTTGAGCTGCCTTCTTTTTGAATAGCACTAGATAAATGATTTTCTAAAACTTGAGCTTGTTGTAAGTAAATATCGGTTGACTCTGATTGGTTATCGGTTTTCTTCTTTGATGAAACTTTCTTTAAATAGCCAGCAGATGCAATGTTTTTGGCTCTACTTTGTTCGTAATCACCTTTTGAGGCCATTTTACTTGTGGTTTGGACTAAATTAAGACCTAAAACTTCGATATCGGCCTCAGCTTCAGCTTGGTCAAGCGAGGTAGTAATTTCTTGGGTTTGGGTGATAAGTCTTACACATTTCTTACCAGATAAGGTTGTATAATAAATTTGTAATTGGAATGGAAGTGATTTCAAATCCTTTTCAATAAGTTTTGATGATTTAACACCATATTCAAATGAAATGGTTGTATCTTGATTGACGTTACCGACAAGTTTTTCAAAGATACTCTTTTCTGTTTTTTCGCCACTATCAGTAATGTATAAACCATTGTGGACAATAAGTTTGATTGAAACTTCGGTAGCAAGAGTTGGGAGACTAATGATTTCTTTGAAACCTTCAGAAAGATTGGTTGGATCGACAATATCAACTTGACCACCGGTAGTTTGAGCTAGTTTACCAATAAGTTCTAATTTGGTATCAGTACCTTTAATGGTTAAAACTGAAATACTTGTACCGTTTCTTTGAGCCATAGCACCTAAATTATCATAAACATCTTCGGTATTTTTACTTGAACCAATTCCCATATTACTAAGACCATCAGTACATAAGATAACTTGTGAACCTCTTGATGCTGCAGTGATACCAATTGAACATGCGGTTGCACTGCCCAATGCAGTACTACCATTGCCTCTAAGTGAGCAAACCTTTTGGATTAATTTTTCTTTAGTTTTAACGATTGGACTACTGAATGAAAAAGAGGTGCCTTCTTCAATTAATTGAGATAAATCATCTAAAGTTTTACCTGATAAGACAACTTCTGGGGTACTACCATCGCCAATGAGTGTAACTTTATCAGAAAAGGTTACAATACCAACTCTTTTGTTTGGATACTTTTCAGCAATTGATTCGATTTGTTGTAAGAGACCTAATTGAACACATTGGAGTCTAGAGACATAAGAAACTTTCTCGTGGGTTTTACCTTCAGAATTTACATTTGTTAATGAAACTGGTAAAGACATGCCTTCTTTTACAAAACTAGTAACTTCCATACTTCCAGAAACATCAATACAGAAAATTACAAATGATTCATCAGCTTCATTAATTTCCTTTTGAGATTTACCAGCATTGTTATTATTTGTATCTTTCTTGACAGTTGGCTCGGCTTCTAAAATATAGTCAATGATATTTGTTGATGGAATTTCTTCTTTATCTAAGGTGACTTGATTAGCTTCTCCACAAAACTCGCAGGTCCACAAATTTTCACTTTCGCTGAAACCACCTTTTGTTGGGACATTTGTAACCATTTTACCATCATTTAATTGAATTTCTTTAAATGAATTTATATTACTTAATCCAGAGTTACAATTTTTACAAAAAGTAACATCACCAGTAACAATTGATGACTCTTTTGCGACAGTACCAAGATTTACAACTAAGACATTGGTATTTGCTTTTTTAACTTTTTGAACTTTTCCTGGAAGATTTCTTTGTGGTTGTTGTGGTATTTGTTGTTGTTGTTGTTGTTGTTGTGGTTGTGATTGTGATCTAAAAAAACCAAAAAAACTTTTATATGGTTGTGGGGCTTGTTGTTGTTGTTGTTGTTGTGGTTGTTGTTGTGGTGGTAATGTGGAAGTTGTTGTTGTTGTTGTAGAGCTTGGATCATTAGATATATCAGCACTATTTGAATCTAAAAAGAAATTAGAAAAAAAAAAAAAAATTAGCAATTAATCAAAAAAATATATATTATTCAATTATGTATACATACCAATTACTAACTCTTCTTCTTCATCTTCTGCAATAAAAGCGTATTTAGATGCACAGTTCATTATTATTATTTATATATAGATAATTTATTAGTTGTTTTATGTTTTTTTTTTTTTAAAAATAAAAATAGATTTTTAATATAATTTTTTTTAGTCTTTTATAAAAAAAAAAAAAAATGAGAAATAAAAAAGATAAAAAATTTTTAAAAAATTTCACCAATTCATTGAATTAATTTCTTTTATTATTTTACTTTAATTATTGAATTTTTTACATTTAAGTACTAAAACTTTTTAATTGTAAAAAATTTTAAAACAATCTTTGAATTAATCATGTTTATTTCTTTATCTTTATAGCAGAAAATAAATTTATTGGGGGGCGGTTAATTAATGAAGTTTAGAAAAAAAAAGGAATAATTATATTTATATTTATATTTATAATAAATATATTTTTTTTTTTTATTTATTTAAATTTATATATATTTATTTTATTATTATAATTTAATATTTAATTGGTTTGTTTATTTTATAAAAATTAAAAGTAAATTTTTTTTTTTATTTTTTCATTTTTTTTTTTCATTTTTTTTTTTAAATTTTTCATTTTTTTTTAATTCATTTTTTTTAAAAATTTGTAAATTTTCATATTTCAAAGATTTCAGTATTAAAAAATGTTAGAATCCTTACCAGTAGAACTAATATTTGATATTATACTTTATTATTTTAAATACTCAAAACCAGATTATAAAAAAAATTTCAAAAAACTTTTTCAGAATTGTTATGGATTAATCTTTTTAAATAAAACAATTTTTGAACAACTAGTAAACTATTCAAAGTTTTGGAGGTTTTTAGCTGAAAAGTTTAGTGAAGATAGAATAAATATTCAAGTTTTGGATTATAATTTAGATAAATTAAACTCGAATATTTACAATCGAGCATATTATATTACAAGTATATATAAAATTAGAAATTATTTATTCCGTGAAATTGAAGGCAATCAATCAAATAGACATTCAATTGTATGTTAAATTATTGTATCTTGACTGAATTCATTTTTTTTTTTCAACTAAAACTAATATTTAATTTTAAACTATATAGGAAATTTACGGTAAAGATCGTTTTACAAAAACATCAGTATGTTCAATTCCATTTGAAAGTAGTTTTGTTGTTGGTGGATTGGGTAGAAATGATTATCCATTTTTAAGAGCATTCAATTATAAAGGTGATGAACAAATTAATTATTTACCATTCAACAAGATACCAGAATTTAAAGGTAAACCAATTGATTCAATTACATGTCAAAATAAAGTTTTAATATTTAGTGTTAGGGATAGTAATAATATTTCAGTTTTTAAAACATCAAGTTTAAATGAGGAAAAAAGTGGTCTAATCGGTATTGAAAGTTTTAACTGTCTCTCCCAAGGAAGTCATAACCGTGTAAAGATGAGCCCAAGCAATCCAAATCACCTAGCAATTGGTAGTAGTGATGGTAGCTTAAACATATATGATTTAAATCATATTTTGACAAAAGATTACTTTAATTTAGATTTTGATGGAGAAAACAATGCACCATCAATTTGGAGCCACAGCAATATAGAGTTACCAATTTTAGATATAACATTCTCTGAGGATGGAAATTACATTTTCGAAGTTGGAGAGTCATTGAATAATAACTCTGGTTACTACAAAAATACAGGTTTTGCAAGATGTTGGGATACTAGAGCACCTCCTTCAAATATGGTTTGGAGCTTAGCAGAATCAACCGAGTTTGGTGGTATAGACAAGTCTGAAGATGGTACTAAAATTGCATATGTCGGTAGATGTGGCATTACTCGTGTTATAGACCTTAGAAATCCAGAAATTCCTTTCTCTTTACTAAAACCACCTTTATCAAGACACTATTTCTATACTTCAAATACTCCATTCTTCAAAGAAAGTGTTCGTTGGCTTCCAGGTAGTGACTATTTAGTATCTTCAAATTATCAAGAGCTCAATATTTGGAATATTGATCAAGATAACCTTCCTCAAACATCTTTTAAAATCAATAAAAGTTCTGCATCAGATAATCAATTGGATATCACAGAGGATGGTCTCTTATTATGCAGCTATGACACAATTTGGGGTATAAATGATATTAGTGATATTTCAATTTACACATATTTAAACTATAAAGGTATAGAAAATAAATAAATAAATAAATAAATAAATAAAAAAATAATAAATAGATAATTGTATACCCACAGAAATTTATATTTTAAAATGATCTAAAAAAAAAATAAAAAAAATGGTTACAAGGATGCATCCAAGGCACCATTGGAAAACTATATGATCAATGATCATATTTTACAATATTTTATTTTAAATTTTTAAGAGGATTATTATAAGATTCCCATTCGTTTGGACCCATTTCCATTTCTTTGTCGGTTAATAAACATTCATCCAACTTCTTTAACATTAACTCTTGGTCAAATTGGTTAGATGATAAACCAACAATTGATAACTCTATTTTTCTATCTTGATATTTAAATAATTTGATTTCTCTTTCAATGTTTTCTTTGATACTTGGATTCCATTCTATTATTAAGTTTTTTTTTTATAAAATATTAATATTAAAATTCTTTTTTTTTTAAAATAAATTTTTGTTATTGTAAAGGGTTAAATATTAAAATATAGTTGAGATTATGTTCATATATTCGTATTATTAATATTGTTTGCTGCATATTATTCATAGTTATTCACGAAAATTTCAAATATTTACCATTTTCATCAAGAGTTGACCAAAATGGACGTTTGCCTCCTAAAACCTCTTTGTTTTCCATCTGAATACGGGAAAAAAAATATAATGGTTAGATTTATACATTTCTATTTTTACTATAATATTATTGTTTCCTTACAATTTCAAAAATATATTTGTTTTTCATATCGGTAGCAAACCAAACAAGACCAGTCAAAAGTAATACACCTTTAAAGTTTTCTGATTTAAATTTATTTTTTTCATCATAAACTAATTTTGAAAATCTTTCTGGATGGAATGGTTTTCTTTGATAATAATTTAAAATTGAAATGCCTTGATTTGTTTGATTTTCGAGTTGATAATTTCTTACTGTAATAACATAACCAAATAATAATTCAAATTTAACTTTTGAATAATTGGTTTCAATAATAAGAGATGATGAAATTAAATTTAAAAGCTTTTGAATAAATTCTAAATCTTCCTTTGAAATCTTTTCAATTTTATTTAAAATAATAATATTTGAAATTGAAATCTAAATAATCGAAAAAAAATTTAGTATCGTTAATAAATAATGGGTACTATATAAAACAAAGAAATGTGTTGTTGATATTACCTGTTCTAAAATTAAAGTTGAAACTAATTTGTCGGCTGTATTTGTTAATTCTTCGATATCTGCTTCACAGTCATCCAAATCCTCTTCATTTTCAAATTGTTGTTGTTCTGAGTTTTTACTACATTTACCATCTTTACAACAATCGTCTGTTTTTTCATTACTACATTTACCATCTTTACAACAATCATCTTTTTTTGAACTACAACCTGTTTTTTCATGATTCTCTTCTTCCTCTTGCTCTTCTTGTTCTTCACCAACAATTTTCATCATTTCACCGACTTTATTATTTGACTTTAAGTCATTTAATAACTTTTCAGCATCTAAAACTGTAACAATATTAACTAATTTAATTTTCTACCAATTTTTGAATTAGATATTTATTTTCTATACTATATATTTTATTATTATTATTAATACTATTATACTTACTGAAATAAATTCACCCAAACCTGTGCCCTCCATTTGTTCTGATCCATATTGTAATACATCGATTAAGAAATTACTTTCAAAAGGATGACTAAAGAATACTACGTAATCATATTGGTTTGGTAAAATGAAGTCTTGAATAAACTCATCCTCCATAATGGTTACAGTTGATCCATTGCTTAATGATAATGCGACATCTTGAATTAATACTTTTGATCCTTTATATTGTTCGAATTGTAATACTGATTCTGGTAAACTGCCCAAACCATCGAAAATAAATGCAATCTTGTATTTGCTATATTCTTTTCTAATATTCTGGTAAAAGGAAGATTTACCACTTCCAACAAAACCCAATACAACAATTGATTCCATTATACCGAGATAAAACCTTTGTCTGAAAAAACTAAAAAAATTAAAATGAAAAATTTAAAATTTTATAAAAAATTGAAATTTTTTATGAAAAAAAAAAAAAAAAAAAAAAAAAACAAAGATAAATGTATTATACAATTTATATTAAATTTACATCTTTTATTATTAAACAATCACTTTTTATTTAATTATTATTTTTTTTTTTATTTTTTTTTTTTATTTTTATATTATATTTTATTATTGGTTTATTTTTTTTATTTTTTTTATTTTTATGAAAATAAAATTATTTTTATTTATTAAATTTTAGTCAATTGGATGTAGAGTTTTTCAATAAATTTTAAAATGGCAATTTCTTTTTCTGATTTTTTATTTTCATCATTACATTTCAAAATTCATTTTAAAATTAAATAACAAAAAAAATAAAAAAAAATAAAAAAAATTAATTTAATTTTTTTTTATTTTTTTTTATTTTTTAAATTATTTTCAAATTAATGAAAATAAATAAATTATTAAGCACCCCCACTTAATAAATTCACCTTTTTATTTTACTTTATAACTTTATTTTTATATCACATAAATTTACAATAAAAATAAAATAGAAATAAAAGTTTTAATAGTTAAAATAATTAAACAACAATAATAATAATAATATTAATAGTGATAAAAATAATACTATTATTGTAATTAATAATTATGGTTATTATTAAAGAGAAATATTTAATTAAAGAAATTTTAAACAAATATATTAGATTCTATTGTTGTTATGGAGATAATGAAAATGCAATTTTATTTTTAGGCTACACCATTAATAAATTTAAACTAGTATGCAAAGAATGGAGAAACGAAATCATATTTCATTTAAAATTCCCTCAAATCAGTATCACCAGCAAGAGTGACCTTGGATATGTTAGCGAATGGATTGAGCAGGGTTTACCCATCAACGATATATTCTTTCCTTATAATCAGCAAACTGTGTTCAAAGATAACTTTTTATATCCACAACTTACAGAGTCAATACCGGTAATAGCAGATAGAATAAGGTCAATATCATTTAGATCAGGCAAAATAGATTATGGGGGTACAATACTGTTAACAAAAAATACAAGATCAGCTACATTTGGTGTATTTAATTCAAAAGAGTATTCAAAGTTCTGCGGGGTATTAGCAAATTATTTGGATGTCATCAAAGAGAACTTGAGAGATTTTACACTGACCACAGTATTATACGATCGCGATATCGACATAATAGATTTCAAAAAATCACTCGAAGCTTTAGAATCATTTAGGTCCCTAACATTTACAAGTTGTTTTCAAAACCAATTTAAATCTTTAGATTTAATCCCTCAAATTTCAAAAACATTAAAGAAACTAAAGCTGCTATATATCAACATTGAATATGAAACTTTGGTAAAAATGGTTACATTATTCATAACAAATGAAAACGAAAGTAGTGTAGTAAAGTTTGAAATTAATGCAAAGTTACTTGATAACCATATAAATGGAGATGATGCAAGCGATTCATCATATGACAGCAATGGTGGTGGTATAGTTTGGAAAGAAAATGACTCTGTGATCGATGTTTTAAAGAACAATGTACAGAATTGGAACTATCTAGATGGTTTATTTGAACTAATATCAAATTGGAAGAAACTAGAGTCATTCAGAATTATTATGGTAGATGAAAGAGTGAACATATCAAGTATTTTAAACTTTTTAGGGAATGTAGAGAAATTAAAAACATTCAAATTTGTTGCAAAATTAAATAATGATTTGGATGACAAGGATTTCATAGATAACCCAATACCAATTTCAAAGCTTAATAAATCAGTAAATAAAATGCTAATCAAAAGTACACAGGAAACTGATATACCGTTTATAAATAAAATTTGGGACCATTGTATAAATTTAGAAGATTTAGAATTACACTTGGATGGTGATACACCTCCGCTATCAACATATAATAACACTATCAATAATAACAATAATAATAATGAATCAAATAGTAATAACTGTTTTTATAAATTTAAAGAAAAAGCAAATGTAAAATTAATAAGTTTAAATCATCCTTACTCCAATAAACTAATAGACTCTATAGCATTCAATTATAATATTGTATCATTGGCAATTATTGATGAAGTTAAAGAAATGAATTCGCTCATTCAAGTATTATTACTAAATCACCCAACAATAAGAACATTAAATTTTAATAAATCAAATAGCGAACCTTTGGCTGCAACAACACTTATTGAACCAATTATTCAAAACACAGTCATAGAATTTCTTTATATCAATACTCTACTATCCAATGATAATGAAGAAGATCACTATAATAATTTAGAATTATTAATTTCAATTCTAAAATATAATAACACTCTCATTCACCTAGATTATAGTTTCAATATTTTACCAAACGATATGAAAGATAATAGTTTACAACAACTGTTATTAGCCATCCAATCGAATAAAGTTTTACAATCCTTGACAATTACTGGTTGTTTAAATCAACAATCTAAACAATTTAAATCAATCCAAAATTGTTTAATGGAAACAGGAAAACTAATTTCATATGCCGACAATCCATACTAAAGAAAATAAATAAATAAAAATTATTGGTTATTTGTATAAACAAACTCTTTATATATTTTTTTATTACATTGCCACAATTTATAGTTTCTCTTTTGGTTTATAAAAAAATAAATAAATAAATAAATATTAAATAAATAAATATTAAATAACTTAATAATAAATAATATTTAATAAAGAATTTCTAAAATATAATAAAGTTTTTTTTTTTTTTTTTTTTTTTATTTAAATCTACAATTCTGAAATAAATCAGATTTTTTTTTGGTATCGTATATTTGAAAAATCCATAAATAATTTTGTCGTAATAATGTTTCGAAGATAAAGTATATAATATATTTTTATAAAAAAACTAATCACTGAGATCCATTTCGTCATTAGTCGATGATTCTATATTATTATTATTTGAGTTTATATTATTTGTATTTGTATTATTTGTATTATTTATATTATTGAGTCATTTCTTAATGAATTTGGTGAGGTTGTTGTAGTTGTAGTTGTTGTTGTTCTATTTGTGTCTTCATTATTTTGTTTTTCTTTTTCTTTTTTCTTTTCCTCTTCCTCTCTTTGTTTTCTTTCTCTTTCTTCTTTTTCTTTTTTAAATTCTTCGTAGGAGGTATCATCAGTCTTTAGTTCGAATCTGCAAACTGGACAACTATTATGTTGTTCAAGCCAAGGCATAATACAATCTGGATGGTACTTGTGTTCGCATGGTAATTCTATAAAATCATCGCCCCATTTAAATTCATCTTTACATACTGCACAATCAATTTTTTGATCTACCATTGTTTGATCTGCTTTGTCTCTCTTTAATTTTTCAATTTCGGATTTTGCTGCTGGTGGAGGACCATTTTTTGAAGTTTCATGAAACATTCTATTTAAAAATGCTTGCCAGTCAATACCTTGATAATAATCATTTGGATTACCTATATATGTATTACTTCTTGAATTGCCACCCACTGCTATTCCACTAGGAGATGCAAGTAATGCTAAAATATTATCAATTGCATATGATGGGTTGCCTATTTGTGTATTATTTCCTAAAAACAATGAGTTTAACGCATTAATTCTAGATTGTGCTAAGTTATTTATATTTCCATTGTTTCTATTTTGACCTGTTTGTTGTGGGAATAATTGTTGAAGGAGTGGTAAAATGGCTACTTCTTCTTCTTCATCATCATTATCATCGTCTTCAATTTCATCATCGTCATCCTCACCAAAACTACCTGTTCTTCTAAAAGTTCTAGATTCTGCAAATGGATTTCTGAACATTTCTACTGGTTCTGATTCTGGTGGTGGTTGTGGTCTCTCTTCCACCTCTTCAATAAATTCTGATGAACAATCTGGACATATAAAATCCTCTGGGTCTCTTAACCTAATATGCTTTTTACATTGATGACACCAATACTGACTTGCAGGTGGACTAACAGTTGTTGACATTCTGTAGTATTTATTATAATTTTTATATTTTTCTCTTTTTTTTTTTTTTTTTTTTTTTTTTTCTTTTAAATTATTTAATGTTTTTGTTTTATATTAATTTATTAAAAAAATATTTTATTTGGATATTATTATAAAACTTAAAAAAAAAAAAGGGGAATTTTAGAAAAAAGAATATAATACAAAAATTAAAAAGTTAATATAAATTTTAAAAATTTAAAAAAAAAAATATTTACAAAAAAAAAAAAAAAAAATTTAAAAAAAATTATAAAAAAATTATAAAAATATTTACAAAAAAAAAAAAAAAAAAAAATTAAAAAAATATTTTCAAATTAAATTTATATTAATTTTATTATTAAAACTTTAAATGGAAACAAACGACTCCAGAGGGATTGTTTCTATTTTATAGTTTTATATAAACATTAATTTTAAATTTAAATTGAATTTAATTAAAATTTAAAAAAAATAAATAATTTAAAAAAAATAAAATAAAAAAATAAAAAAAGAAATAATTTATATAAAATAATAAATATTCCACCCACACTTCCTCACACACACAAGATTTTTTTTAATAATTTTTTTTGATAATATTCTTGTTGTGTTGTAGTTGTTTTTTATTTAATTATTTTTTATTTATTTATTATATTAAAATATATATTTTTTATTTCTTTTTTTTTTATTTCTTTTTTTTTTTTTTATTCTTTTTTTCTTTTCAAACAATACTTACACTCACACTTAAATTCCTTTTTTATATAATAATCTTATTTTTTAAAACCATTTAAATCTTGTTCATTAATTCAAAAAAGTAATTTGATTCAGTCGATTTATTTTTTTTTTCTTTTACATAATATTAAATAATTTAAATAATCAATATTTTTTTTATTTTTTTTTTTTAAAAAAAATATGTTTTCTACCATTTATAAATAATACCAAACAAATAAAAATATTTCCAATCCACTATTAAATATTTTATTACTACTTTTATTAATTCTATTTAATATATTTTATTTTATACAATTTTTTAATAATTTAATTAGAAAAAAAATTATTTAACTATATATATATATAATGATAATTAAAGAAAAAAAAAGTAAATTAAATTTAAAATATATTTGGTTAATAAAAATCAAACCTGGGTTTAATAGAACAGTAATTTCATTTTTTCACTCAATAAATCAATGTTTTAAAGACCAGCATCAAAAAATCAAAGAAAAAAAAAATAGAAAAAAAGATAAAGATATAGATAGAGAATTTAGACATAATACAAAGCACAACATGAACGATCCAATGGTGGAAAATAATGATTTTACAGATAGATCAATATTCAATAAACATCAAGATAATGCATATAAAAAAAGTCATACTCATCACCACCATCACCCACACGAAACAAAACAAGACTACTTTGAAAAGGATATAAATACAAATGAAAATA